TTCCAATTAGCAGTTCTCTTTACTTACATCTGTTTTGTTCTTGAAAATCAGGGCAATTATTAAATGTTTTAATATCTCTGCATCTCAATTTTCTTATCTATAAAGAATGGAATTAGTGCTACTTCTCTCTGAGTAAAAACAGTATGCAGATTTCAGGTTATCTTTATTGAATCCACCTGGAAATTTGGGGTAGAAAAAAATAGTATTAGAAGTATATTAGTCAAGACACCATCTACTAATTTTCCTGGGAGAAAAAAATTTAATTGTGAGGCAAACCTAATATCTTTTCTCGATTTTGCCTAGTAGAATGACTCACCTGGAGGACTCTAATCTGTTTAACCCTTTATTTATTCAACAACTATTTTTGGACGCCTTTCTATGGACCACGTACTATTCGAAGTAACAGGAACGCATCAGTACATCAGTGTACAAAGGACAGCAAAATCCTTTTCCACATAGAGCTGACGTTCTGGAGTCAGTTCACTTACATTCACATATGTGCATATATTTGTAACATTTATAAATTTACAAATATATATAAATAATGTATTATTACCGTGAATTTACAGAAGTGATAACTGAGAGTCAGAGAACTAAAGTACCTCACCCAGGGTCTCAAAGGCCGAGTAAATTATGGAAGAGAAAGTTATCTGTTAACGATTATAGTAAGTTATATCTGACCATAAGGCCCACATTTCCAAAACTGGCACTCTTAACTGGAAGAATACATACAAATAGAGTGGAGAACAGATGGCCTCTGTCACAAGACTAGGGAACCCCCTTCATTTTACTATTATTAGTAATCTTCATATTAAAGGGGCAGGTCTTCCATTCCTTGCTGATTTCTTATCCCTCAGATTCTACTTTCCTACACAGATCTATATTACTTGATTCGTCACACTTTCTAATTTTTTCAAATTCTATACTTGACTTCTAAAAATCAGCTTTTTGATTTTCACTCTGATCTTCCCTTTTCTAACAAGATTTTTCCTGTGTCTTGTTTTTTTGTTTGTTTGTTTTTGTTGCTTGTTTTTCAATTCAATTTAATCCATGGGCTTTCTGAGACTCATTCAATCTTTTATTTTGTAATTTACAATGACAACTATGAACCTAGTGTCCACTAGGCTTCTGCTAAGAACAGAACATGAATGTAAATAAAATGGGAATCTATCCAAGTCTAAATCCACTAGTTCCCTTTGGCTTAGCTAATCAAATGTTTCAATTTTTTTTCTCGTGTGTGTGTGTGTGTGTGTGTGTGTACATGTGTCACAAGGTTTAGTTATGATAATTTTCATGATCCCTTCTCATTATTTTAGTTTTAAAAAAGTGGACAAGAAATACACGCATACACAAACACGTAAGGAAAAAGTTACGGATAAAGACATGGAGAATAAACACCTAAGATCCCGCTACTTAGAAATAACCCATTGCATTAATGTTTACAAATTTCTTTCTATCTGTAGTAAAGCTTTCTGTGAATAACTCAAAATGAACTGATTTATTCAACCAACCAAACAGTTCGATCTATATAATCAATTATATAGTCAATTATATCAATTACCTCACCAAACTGCTATGTAATCAAATTGAATAAAAATCCACAGTGACAGGCATGATGTTATTTATTGTATATGTACATTTTCTATATATAGTGAATGTGGCAGATATATTAGACAAATAATAAGACATTAAACATTTCTAACTTTCAGAGAACCTAAATCTTCTCAAATTGACTTACCACATAACTGAATCTATCAGAATTTATGAAAATGTGTTACATTTCATCTTGAACCCCATTTGGGAAAAGGGACAAAGTTTTTCTTCAAATTATAACTCAGGAACCTACTGTAATTCCATGTGTACAATCAATATTGATTAATAAAGATGAAAGGAAGTGTCGTCTGAACCTGGCATGATACTACCTTTAGGGAATCTTCAGGTTATTAGGGGATGTGCAGTTCCATGCTGGTAACATAGACCACTGTGCTCAATTTTGGGCTTTGACAAACTAAAGTTTGTTCAGTAGGCTTTGGCTAATTTCCTCGGGGAAATCAGCTCAGCAAAATCTAGAAGTAGCTCTCAATTTTTGACTTTTAAAGGGCCAAATTCACAAAATTAACACTTTGCAAACCTTATCATAACCAGAAACATTTTCAGACATACTCACAATCACATTTCCTTCACACCTGAGATATCATTTAGATATGTGTGGCATCAGAATTAAATACAATTAGTAGTAAACGAAACCAGTATTAAGCACAGTTTTTCATGGAACATTTGGAAAAGGGTGAATTATCAAAGGTATGATTCAAGGAGAAGCAAATGACAAAACTGATTGTTTAAAATCATTTAAAAACCCTGTTGGGTCTACTTTCTTAATATGAGACAAGTTAATATTATGTCTGCAGCAACATGTTGACTTATAACTGTACTTATCTACCTGAAATTCATTCTTAAAAAAGATAGCCTGTGTCATGATTTAAAAAGCACTTCCCTACCGTTTTAAACTTTTCCCCCTTTTTCCTGCTGTTTTCCCTCTTAAGTTAAAGTGATTAACAAAGTCGTCTTCTCTACCTATTCTAGAGTGTCGGACACCCTCATAAAGCCACTAAAGCACCTTTGTTAGCTGGATGGAATGTCTTCAGGCTCTACCTCAAATGTTCCAGCTCCCACTTTGTATTAGAAGAGAATTCTCTATGGATCTTTCACATTTCTGCACACTTTGTAAGCAGAGACACTGACAGCTTTTGTTCTTATCTTTTCAGTCTTGGAAGACAGAAGTAGTTCTCCCTATGGAGTAAAGGGCAGATTTGTTTACAATCCAGTTTAATAAGGATAATTTCTCCCTCTATGGCAAAGGGCAGGTTTGTTTTCTGCCATTATATATTTTAAAAAAAGAGTTTTCTAAAGCTCAGGGTGCTTCAGCTATGACATAAACCCACTGTGTACAGTGGTCACCTAGCCCTCATCTTATCACCTTGTAGTAACTGGATTTTAAAGAACTGATGCAAAAAAAATGACAATACTCTGACTACTGCTATTGCTATGAGTAATACACTGCCTTTTGTCTTTGTCCTCTGCATCCATGAAACTGCTATAGACTCTTCAGCATTCCTGGTATCTGGTATCCCCAGTTTCTGTTCTTTTGCTTTATGGATAGACTCTCGTCTATTGATTTAGTTCCTTACTCAAGTTTCTGCCTCCTTAAGTTGACTTTCTTGGTCTAAATTTCCTACTTGCCTAGGGAAAAGAGAATCTGATTAAATAAGTGGCAACAAACTAAAGTCAGAGGAATAAAAAGTGTTAATTCAGAAACAATTGTGGCTTACATATGGAGTATAGGTCCCATGCAAATCTGTACTGCAGCTGGGTTTTCAATTTCATCCCTATCAGAGACATCATTTTAAAGACCTATTGGGTCTTGGAGTTCAACAGGATTGCTGGGCTGGGTGCCTTGTTTATTTGACAGATTTTACTCTGCTTTTTCATTTCTTAGTGCTCGCTGCTAAAAATATTCTTTCCTTAGTAGATATATGTCTCTTTTCCCTCCCCTCCACTTCCAAGCCCTCAACCCTCAAACAATAAAATCAGTATACATATATTCAGAAAAGCATAGTTAGTGATAAATGATCAGGAAATTTACTTGTTTGTTACCTCTTATTTCAGAGAGTTCCAGAGGGATGAGCAGTAGCCTTCTGCAATAAGAGTCCTGAGAATCAGTGGGAACCTGTTAAAATTCAGATTTCCAGGCCATACCCTCCCCACCCCAAGGATTCTGATTCAGTATGGCTGATGTGGGTCGCAGGAGTTCTCCATTTTTAATGAGTTTCTTGGGCAATTTTGCTACAATTTGTTTGCAGAACACTCCATGAGAAATCCTACTCCAAAAACTGCCTCCTGACTTGGTATCATGCACATTTGTGCAGTATAATAGAGACAGTTCAACCCCAAGTATATAGATTAGTCACTGACAAATGTTAGTTGATGACAGTGATTTGCTCTGGTGTGCAGCTCAACTGTTAGGAGTGTTTTGAAAGTTATTTTTTGGACCATGAGACTGAAAGACTCATATTAATATGAAACAACTGCTGATTAGCTTTAACATTTCTGGATATATTTGGAACAATTTCTTCTGATCTGTGGCATAATACCACATGCACATTATTAGCAAGGACCATATACAGAAACACAAATAAGTAGAATTTTAAAAATGAAAACCGTAGTTTGTAAATACTTTGGGTAAAATACAATTATCCCAAAGGTATTTTATTTGAAGAAGTTAAACAGTATGAACATTTTTTAGATAAAGATTTAGGAGAGATTTTTGAAAAGTAAAAAAGTAAAAACAGTCATTGCTGTTGAGATCATAAGATATACATAGGATGTTACTGGAAAATCATCTTATATCAGTGTGGTGGGAGCATTGAGGAAAAGTGTGTAACATACTAGCACTGATGGTTCTGCAGGTATCCAATTTATATTCTAACTTCCTAACAACAATGCTTACGGAAAAATTCTTTCTCCAATTTTTTTTTCCCCAAATGAAATAGAAATAAGTCACCCAAGTAACAGAAGTATCACACTTCACCTCTTTTCTTTGAGTACAGACCAGTACGCTTCATTTTCATCAGGTTTGATTGGGAGTTACACATTTAAATTTAGTGTTAGTGCACTTCAGGTAAAGCTCATGAGGAAAACACCAGCATATGGCTACAGTGCTTTTGAGGTAAGGACACCACGGTTGAGAGTGCCAGAGACTAGGAGAATATTAAACACATTTCACTCTGTACATCAAACTTAATTATTGTGAGTTTACCTGGGACAATTGTTACATTAAACAATTTAACCAACATTTCAACATCTACCCGTCTTCAGTGTTAGTAAGTGATTTTTACCAGCAGTCCACCTCTTAAAAACAGCAACACAAATTTCAGTCAGAATTTTTCAAGGTGTTTTATCTTTTCTCAGAACTTATCTTGATAAAAGGTGATGACACTTACAGTTGACAACAACTTTTACTTTCCTCACATCTGGGAATGACACATCATTTTCCGCACTGCATTCATATTCCCCAGCCTGGTCCCTTGTAATTCCATAAATGTCCAAATATTGTCCATTTTCAAATGGTTTTGCTATAAAAAAGAATACAGCATGTTTAATTGTAGCTGCCTGAGGCTTCATTCAAGTAAAACAACAATTTCATGACTTCCTACAAGATATTGCTGACAAAACAATTCCAAATGAAACTGGGGAATTATTAAACCTTTTGTTCTTCTATGTTCAGAGGGAAACTCAGAGAAAAAAGCAGAAGCAGAACAAGGTATATTGTAACAACTATTTCCCCAGAACAGGATATACATGTGTTCTTTTTAATTGATTGTGGTCTTCTAACCTCTTCACACATCAAATAGACTCTGCACATTTCTGTAATTGAGTTCAACAACCTCTGAGCAGTGTAGATGAAATTCACTAATATGACTTGGTACATATTGACTTTTCTACTGTGTGAGCTAGCAACTTGACACTTAACCTAACTAAATGTTACTTTTCTTTTGGGGGAAATCTCCTACCCTTATTCAAGGATTCAAGTCAGATGTCTTGAAAAAAGTATAGAGGTATATTTAACCATTGCTATATTTCTGTTTCCAAAATTATTAATGCTGCCAAGAAAGGTACAGTGTACACACTATATATAACTCACCCAATGAATCTTGGAAAGAATCACTATGACTCTCTAAGGGTTAAGTGTTCATAAAAGCAAACTAAGTTATCTTTATTTTTAAATATTCATGGGAAAACATTCTATGTGACCAAAAATAGCAGCAAAATAGAAATATAAAGATGTAATAACAGATGAAAGACTACCCCCAAATGAATGAGATTTGAGAAAATAAAGTCTCCTTTGTTTAATAATGGAATTTTTGTTTATTTGAAAGCATTGGGTCATTGAGCAGGATCCTAATTATCAGAAGTATGGCAAAGGTAGAATAAGCCTTTGTGAATTTCAAGAGAGGAGACCCTTCCATCTCCTTGCACAGGCCTTGAAAAAAAATCACATTTCAGTGCATATCAAAGGGAATTGTGGAATGAAGCAATGCTACTATTAAATTGTTTGTTTTCAAAGTCAGTATTATTTTTATCTTTCCCTTTCTGTCTTGCCAAAACCATTGTAATGATATAGAAGTTGGAGAACTAGTAAGAAAGTTCATTTTAATGAAACAAACAAAATAAATTTTAGTTATGGCCCTCCAAATTTAAAGTCCATTCCAATTATTTCCCCCCAACGTTCCCCCATGCACCTCTGTGTCTGGGTCTTTATTAACTGTGGCATGGTCTGCCCTCCAGGTAACTATGAGTTTGCTAATTGAAACCTTTAGTGTTTAGAATATATATGATTACATTGTTTTTCCATTTATCTATCTAATCCTAGCTGTACAGAAGGGGAATTAAAACTTCTGAAGTGGTAGTTGGCTCTTTTTGTCTTATTTTCACTATTGTAATGAAGATACTCTAAGCTTAAATGTGTCTGTAAAACCTATTGAAATACATAGGTATAAAAACTTCACATCCAAGAATTTTTAAAATAAAATTTAAATTATAAAGTAAGGATGGTATGAAATATAAATTAAACTATGAGGAACACTGATATAGTACATCAGGTACTTTAAGTCATTTATTACTTACATTCACCATGAATCAGCACTCCCAAAAGATGTGTTTTAAGCATTCTATTGTTTTTATACAAATAACTTTTTTTTTTTTTTTTTTCCCAGACAAGATCTCACTCTGTTGCTCAAGCGGAAGTGCAGTGGTATGTTCGTGGCTCACTGCAACCTCTGCCTCCTGAGTTCAAGCGATTCTCCTGTCTCAGCCTCCTGAATAGCTGGGATTGCAGTTGGGTGCCACCAAGCCTGGCTAATTTTTGTATTTTTAGTGGAGATGGGGTTTCACCATGTTGGCCAGGCTGGTCTCAAACTCCTGACCTCAAGTGATCCCGCCGCCTCTGCTTCCCAAAGTACTGGGATTACACGGGTGAGCCACCACGACTGGCCCAAATAACTCTTTTACCTGAACTCATTCTTGCTCTGTTCTCATCTGATCTTACCAGACTTGAATTCCAGATTTGGAACTCAGAGTTGCTTGCCCAGGATCTAAACCCTGTAGTTTACTAGTTGTCTGTAATTTGCTTGGCTGCCTCACTGTTTTTCTTTGTTTGTTTGTTTTTGCTGTCCTTTATTCTCCTTAGAAGTAATTTAGCGTAGCTCTGAGCTAATCCTGTCTTCAGATCCCCTTACCCATCACTCCCCTCTCAAGGGGAAAGGATTTTGGCATGGTACTTTAAAATGCAAAGCAGAGCATTTTCATTTATACATGCAATATAACTCAATTTTCCCCCTCAATGGAGGAGAAAGACAAGGCTAAAGGGGTATAGAAAACTAAAGACGTAAGAATCATCACGAAAACTATGACTTTGCAATGTTTATGAGGGATATGTACTATCTTAGGTATCTATTATAAACCTATATCTTGTGATATGTTTTTAATCCCCCAGCATATTGATTATAAATGTAGATGAGATATAATCACATTGTGATATGACTGCCTTCCAGTAGTCATAGGTTTTGCCATTCTCCACCAGTGCAGCAACAGTCTCTGTTTTGCTCATCTCTGTTTCCTTAGCTCTAGTGTAACGTGTAAAACATCATATACTTTATAAATACTTATTACAAAAATAAATAAAGACATTGATTAATTTAATAAAGTCCTGTAAGGATGGAGCATGGGGAATCTAAACTAAACACCTACATCTGAGGAAGTTATCACTTGTTTTTCAAAGTCATGAAGAATGAAAAAAACTTTAAAAAGAGTTGCCATTCTTGTTGACATCTTGAAGTGATAGATGGTGGCAGGGGTTAGAACAGGCTCTGGACATTACCTTAGATCCCTTTCAATATTATAAAACCTAACAGAAACAGTAAATACAATTTTGAAGAAGAAAGATAAGTACTGCCTAGAATCTGAACCACAGTTTTCTTTTGTGTATAATCTCTTCCAAGTATAGATAGAGTTTTCTCACAAAATAGAAAACTGAAGAAAGTCTACAAGCCTTCAGTGGTGCCACTATTATCACCATCTTCAAAGAGGAAGCTGAGAAATAGTAAACAGCTATACGTTAAAATACCTTTCTGATACTTATTTCTGATAAGAACCCCAGCCACAAAGAGTTCTATGTTGGCCACTAAATGATATCTAGATTTGGTTTTACGGTTTGCTAAGGCATTTAACATACTTTATGTAGCATTTAAAAAGTGTTTGTGAAAGCAGCAGTATTCCTCTAGAGTATCTGTGTGTTTCAGAAAAAAAATTACAAAATAAATCTATTTTTCCTTAATTTCTAGGACATGATCCTTTACTAGTTTTACTCTCACATCGCAGGCAATTTCCATTTACTTTTGCAAAACCCTTCACATCTTCACATTCCTCAAATATTGTTTCTGTTCTATGACCTCTTTCTTTTATTCAGTGCACTCTTTCAGAGGAACTTGTTCTTGTTCATTCATTTATATTTCATTACTCTCTTAATATTGACAAGTCCCTAATTGATCTATTTAGCTCATACCTATGAATTTGGGACACATATATTTGACTGAACATCTGCACTGAGATGTCCCATAGTCATCTCAAGTCATCATAACCAGAACCAGATTTACCTTTCCTGCATATCTGCAGCTGCTCTTACGTTCCAAGTATCAATGATTGTTTTGATCATGATCTAATTTGCTCAAGCCAGAAATCTTGGCATTAACTTTGGTAGTACTTTTGACCTTAGTCATCTGTCGGTACTGTATCCTGTCAATTTTGCCTTCTAATTCTCAAACTTATTCTAGGAGCCTCTGTGTTTCAGCCCTGAATGCACATAATCATATATGCCAATAATTGCCTACTGCTTTGTAGATCCATTTCAATCATTTTCTAAGAACTTGCTCAGAAAGTCACTCTACTTTATAAAGCTGCCCTGCAGGAAGATACACTGTGAGGGTCTCATTGCCATGTATTACTAGATGATACTCTGTAACTGAAGATATAAAATATATTTGGGATGGTTCATTTACATTTAAAATTGTAATTATTTTCCATTAACTTGTTATCTTGTACACCAGCATATTTGGTATTAAATAAGTATCTCTTTTATGCATTGTACCATATTTATCATACTGTGTGATAAGGGATGTGGGCTTTAGAACTGGATTATGTGAGTTCAAGTCTCAGCTTTGCCATTTATTAGCTATGTGGCTTTATACCAGGTATTTAACCTTTAGTGTACTCATCTGTAATGTGTAAGGATAATAGAACCTGCCTCATATGATTGTTGTGAAGAGTGGGTTAATACAAGTAAAATACTTAGAACACTATCATACATCATAGAAATTTAAAAATTATATTAACTATTATTACAATGTACAGGTTAGGCATGCTAGAGACTGATTCAGATAATTATTGTTTCCATGCTGACAGGTTACTATATTCAAGTATTGATGCTTCTGTCTTAACTTGGTATTTAATAGAAACCAGAAGTGAGAATAAGGAAGTCACTCAAGAAGGATTAATAGTAATGACCAGTTCAGTTCTCATATCACTGTAGGAGCTCAGAAAACACATCTTTCTTACACATCTGTAGATGTACATGGTTGCTCTTATGTTTGGGAATCACTTTCTTTATGCCTGAATTCCTAAAGACAATTTAACTTCCCTGATGTACTTTTCTCCTTTCTTAAACTATGTATATACAATCCTTGAATAGTCACTGGTCCAGAAACAGCATCCAAAAATGGCTTTCAACTTCGGGTTTCAGATGAGAACTATAGCCTGAGACAAAGTCCTTATAACCTGCTTTCTCCTTACACAGTTGATCTTGACTTCCAGTTGCTGCCTTGAACACTCTATCCTTCAATTCACTCAGCTTTCTTCTTCTCATCCTTTATGTCTCTGCTTAAACATTATCTCCTAAGAGAAACGTTTTCTGATTTACTCACTACCCAGTCAAGGAGCCCCACATTACATATAATTCCAATAAATTTAGCAAAGCAAAACACAAAAGGCTGCACTAATTTTGCATGGTATGTACATACTT